ACACACTCTTGTGTGTTACAGCCTGCTCAGTGTTTTATAACTAAGGTGTCACTTTATTTTTAAGCTCATTTAATAAGACAAGTTGAACCAGAACAGACTCATTTGGAGCAGCATAGAAACACATACAGTACACACATGGATCACTGTGTAGAGCTATGGGCAGCTTCTGCACAACTTCTATAATTAATTAAAGTCCCACTCCAGAAACATTTTCATTTTTATATTTGTATATAAAAATACTTTACTATAAACAATATGCAGTCTAACACAGCTTTTCCTCAAAAAAATTTCAGTGGGCCTCTGTAATAGGAATGAACATTGCCCCTCATTGTGCATTCCAGGATCTATGAATGTTGCCGTCATCCCTTATGTGGATTTGAATAATTTTGCACGCCCAATTTTTCAGTTTTTTATTTGTTAGAAAAGTTTGAAATATCCAATAAATTTCGTTCCACTTCATGATTGTGTCCCACTTGTTGTTGATTCTTCACAAAAAATTACAGTTTTATATCTTTATGTTTGAAGCCTGAAATGTGGCAAAAGGTCGCAAAGTTCAAGGGGGCCGAATACTTTTGCAAGGCACTGTAAGACCCTACAGCTCACAGTGCATGTCAGAGCAAATGACAAATGACACTGTACAGCAATATTGATAGCTAAAGGCTCTGCCTCCCATTTTACTTCTGTAGATTCTAGGAACCACAAGTAGACCTGCATTCTGAGAGCGAAGTGCTCTGTTAGGATGATAAGGCTCTACGAGGTCTTTAAGATACGATGGAGCCTTGTCATTAAGGGCTTTGTATGTTAGGAGAAGGATAGCTGTTTTTTCCCCTTTTTTGGTGCTATATAAATAAATTTGAATAGAATTTTTAATTAAAAATAAACCTATGTTATGTGAGTTGGAAGATCAACAATTCTCATCTCCATACCACATTCTAACCAAGGTTGTAAATCCCCAGTCCCAGCTGACGAAAGGCGGGGTCCACCCTGGACAGGTCACCAGTCTATCACAGGGCTGAAATATATACAAACAACCACACACACTGCTACGGGCAATTTAGAGTCTCCAGTCAACCTAAGCTGCATGTCTTTGGACTGTTGGAGGAAGCCGAGGTACCCGGAGAGAACCCACACAACCCAAACAAAGACAAGCTTCACACCTGGGTGCAGTACTTGTTGATTTTTTCTGAGTGTAGTTTCTTATTGTGTTGCTTGAGCTGTGAGTGTGAAACCAGGAGTTACAATATGTGTAACAGCTTGTGTGCATTGAGAAGATGCTGTATGTTCACACACACGCAAGTGTAGAACTATTTTCTATAGAGTCTAAAAACAATCAGTAATACACAATTAAATGTGCCAAAGAATGGGAGAGCATTCATATGGAAGCTCAGTATACAAGTTACATGATGTTTACCCATTATGTGGCCCCAAAGAGAGGGATGTCAGGCTATGCCGTCATAAATCTTCAGAGCCCCACAATAAGCAATGCAATTTTCCAGTGCTATCCTACCTTAAAACTAAGCATCCCTTGATCCTATCCTCATCCTGAAAAGTAATTACCCCCAGGCAGAAAGCCTACAGAACAGCACAAATTGCAGCACATGTCCATTTGTCTGTGCATGACAGCACCTCACAGCAACAAATGAACAGAAATGTCTTTCAACGTGCAGAGTGAAAAAGGGTACGCACAATGAGCTAAAAAGTAAAAACCTCAACTTCTGTCATTTTAACAAATCAAATTATTTTGGCGCTTACACTGACAATACAATACAGAAACCTGTAAGCGTGAAATAATGGAGGCACCTTCTGAAACAGCAGTCTAAGTCACAACTGCACCTGCTCCAACAGAAGGAAAACAGGGAGGCTCCTTGATGTGTGAAGGGCTTTTTCTCTCCACCATATTGTGGCACTGAGATCAGTCTTCACTTTGTAAAATTAGTGTGCTAAAGACCATTATTTGTTTCTATTAACTGCTGATTCATATTACAAAAATAAAAAGTCCATGTATTTATTGCAAGTCTAAGGTCAATATGAAATTTTGAATTTCTGACAAGACAACCGGTGATTCAGTGGTTTGCTGCCAGTGCCAAGAGTCACAGCCTGACTTCTTCTCTGACCTGTCAACCTGCTGCTTGAATTGTGAGGAGGAGAATCTGGACAGCTTTATAATGACACCTCCTCACTTGCCCATTGCTGCCAAACATTAATGTGGCTTGATGGCTACAAAAGGCATGTGACAGGAAGGAAAGAGTCAGAGGAGCAAGTTCTGTCATGCATGAGACCGAACCTCTCGAATTTGCTGCAGCTTGTTCAATTTTTTTCTGGTTATCAGTGCACAGTGCAAACTAAAAACACATTTTTGTTTATATCTAAGTGTAAAATTAAAGAAATGATCATAATGAAGATTACAGTACTGTAGATGGGAACCACAAGATATGAACCAGCAAGAGAAGCCAACAGTGGGCCGTTTCAAATCAATTTAAATCAGCAGGCTGTTTTTCTGTTATATTTGTGGTCATCATTAACATCACAAACAGAAGGTAACACACCTCTGCACCATGTGGCATTGATTTGGGCAGGACTTGATTGTTATCTGTGTTAGCATATGCCTCGACGTGTTCATCACACACAGCTCCTCAGCTTCTTCTGCTTAGAGGTGCAGAGATACAGTAGAAAAAAATTGCCCCACATACAAACAAATATGGACTAATACACATGCACATGCACGAGCAGGCGATGAGTAATCTTAAGTAATCTTAAGCAAGATTAAAAAAAGTTTCTTCACTGAATCTCCAGGGAACATGTCCAAACAAGTGTGTAGAAATCCTGAGTGGCTCAGTTATTTAACAATCTTTTTTGTCTCAAATTGAGAGGGGCAGATAGATAATAAGAGATATCTGTGCTGTGATCTCATGTTATTGCCCCTTCTGTCATCACTCCAGGAGTCATATAACAGGTTCTTATGCAGTGCCTGTTTGCTGTGTAAAGAGAACCTGGTAAGTTACCACCACCTTCCAAAAGTCTGACAACTTGCTTTTTTAAATCAAGCAGCACAAAACATTGTGGCTATCTATGTCACTCTAAACAACTCAGCCAGTAAACAACGAAAAAGTTTTGTTTTGCAGGATCGTTCTGAGAGGTCATTTCTGCATCAGACTGTGCATTCCAAGCAAGTTGAAACATGCAAGACAGTGGAAACCATTTCTGCCTTTAACTCTGACCGTTGCCCACTACATAGGAAAGGACAAATACTGTATATGGGTCTTACCCAATGATGTAAGCCAGGACCCCCAATTGGATCAGACGGCACACCACGCCCACCCTCCTGTTCCTCACCAGCACCTGACGCGGGGTCTCATACTCAAATAAGAAGTCGGAGAGGGCCTTGCTGATTTCGCTCTTCATCTTCTCTCCTTGACTGACCCACAGAGAGGAGGGTCTCTGCCTTCACCCTACTTTCATATAAACACCTGTCATAAAAATATTTAAATACTGCTTCCTCTGCTCCTGGTCTCCTCTGCTTCGTTCCTCACTAGTGGCGAAGGTTGTCTGCTTCCTTACATAAGAAACATCTGATACACTTCATGTCCTGAAGAGTTGGGCTTCGCCCCTCCCACTCTGCTCTCTCTCTCCTTCTCTCTCGCTCTCTCTTCAATCAGTCACATTTGTGCATCTTTCCATTTACCTGGTCACTTCATCTCCTGGCTTTCATTGCATTTCTTTTATACAGCACAGAAAATTAGAGGCAAGACATTTAAGGAAATCTGATCTGACTTAGTTGCAAGTTCAAATAACTCAACAGCTGTCATACAAGCACCGGACCTCCTCCTCTCTTTATGCAATCAAACTTTATCGCCTCCACTGACACTCTCTTCCTGCGTGCTAGACAGAGATAAAAAGCACATAAGCTCAACACAAACACAGCACATATGCCACCTCACCATTTACAGACATTAGGCTTTCTTATGTCTTATCATAAATTTGTTTTGTGCACACAGAAATGGTTTGTTTCTCACCCGAATCAACAGCACACTTTCCCTCTTTTCATACCCTCTGAGGTGCTTTGGATTTCTAATATGCACTTTTTGAGGAAAAGAAGAAACAAATGCACAAGGTGTACCATTCTATTTCAGTATGAATGAGCTGAAATATTAATATTACATAAAAGGTTTCTCATCAGAATTTTATTTCACTTGTGTGCTGTACATTCTAATCGCCAGAGATTAGTGAACAGAAAATCTTATTTTAAAATATAATCTAAATCTGGTTAAAGCCTATTCCAAAAGACATATGACTATACATCAGAAATTGCTACCAAACAGCCATCACTAGAATTTGGTAGGACTGCAAGGATTTGGCAGGATTGTAAGGATATTTGCAAGGATTGCAAAAAGGGGCTGTAAGACAATCTAGATAATAGCCTAAAATGCTCCATTAAAAATAATATAATGTGTGCCAACTGACACAGACTGCTCCAAAAATTTTAAGGGGCACTGGGAGACACATTTAAAAGACAACATTTTATAACAACACATCCAGTGGTTGTTTCAGTTTGATGGAATGACTGACAAGGAAAGAAGTATGCTGTAAAAGCGTAGAAAGGCGCTATACAAGTATAAGACCATTTACCAGAATGCTATTTGTTTTAATTAAACTGCTGGTGTCTTAAAGGGAAAGGACAGAAAAGATGGAGAAGACCATCATCTTGTCACGCTTTTGACCGCTTCCTGTTTTTGTTTTTTTCCCCGTCTCTCCCTACCGTTCTGCCACGTCACTGTAATCACTGATTATCACGTTCACCTGCTGCTCATTACCACACGGTCCAGCTCCATATATATATATATATACACGCCCCTTTTCTCCTTTGTTTTCTGCTTGTTCATTGTTGGTTTCTTCATTCACCTGATTGCTGACTATCCCTGGTGTCTGTTACCCGACGTTATTCTGGCTTCTCTGGTTCCTGACCTTCTGTTTGACTTGAGCTGCGGACCTTACCTCTAGTGAGGTAGTGATGGCTGATCGAGGCTTTGTTGAAGCTTCAACACGGTATTCATAAAAATGGTTCATTACTCAAGGTTTCACAGTGCTCAAGTAGGACATCTAGTGGTCAGTAAAATGAAGTCCAATCGAGACATGTCATTTATTGGTTCATTATTATTTATGATCTGATTCACCATGTGCATTCTTGTTCAACTACACTACATGGTTGTATGGTTTCATGCCGACACAAAATATAAAATAAACATGAACTCATGTTGAAGACCATGTGTCTTATTTGGCACATCTGAGTGTAACCCTATATGCTCCTCACTTATATTTTGTGTTATGAAACATTTAAATGCTGCTGCTACATTCATGAGATGTGCTCTACAGATTCAGACAGATGTCATTCGCACATGGGACTGGTGCAAATACAAATTATAGTATGGACCTTGGCAATATGTGTTTTGGGGTTCATTGGTAAAGAGATTCATGGTTATGTGGGTAAAGAGAATCAAATAAAAATGAAATACCTGTGGAGGCTGCTGCTGGTGCTGGTGCTGGAGGATGAGGTTAACAATACAAGTGAAATTAAAACAACGCTCATACTTACCTTATTATCTGGCAGCAATTGGAAATCACCCCATGCACAGGACCTTGTCCTGGTTGTCTCAGTTCCCTCTGCCTAGAGATGTATATCTAGCTAGATAGTTTATCTATTCTCTCCCACTCTCTCTCTCTATAAGTCTCTTATATATGTGATATACTGTATATATAGCTTATATAAATGTATTATATCTAAGTATATCTTATCTATATATGCAATATACATATATATATATAAAACATTATTTAGGGCTATCTATGTAACTATATATATCTAGTGGTTTTTAACTATGTAACTATTTTATCTATTTCTCTATGTAACTTACTATCTAGCTATCTATTAATCTACCTCTCTATCTACAGTGATTCCCCACTAAATACACAATCTGCTACAACACTACTAACTCTCAAGTCACTAAGTCTCAGGTCAATACCTTGGTTGATACTGACAGTGAACAGGAAGACATAGTAGTAAGTCAGTAATATAGAGATCACTCACAAGTTGTGTAAGTGGTGCAGCATCAGACTGGTAGGTGGTCTGTAACTCTCGCTGATAATGCAAATAAGAGGATTAAATGAGAGGATTTCTAACCTAAACAAATGAAGAACTGAAGGTTATCGCAACTGTGGAAAGTGCCTCTTTAACTACAGTAGAAAAGGGAACATCATATAATTACAAACCATAGGACAAGGTGGTTAGTGGAGAACAAAAGCAAAGTTATTTAAGACCTGATTTTGGCATAAACAAATCTGTGCGGAACAAAAAACAATCACATTAGTTGTATGTAATATTTGAGTCATATGAACTTAAGTTTATTTTCTTGTTTTTCTTATTCCTTACTTATATGTTTCAGTATTGCATTGATGACTGTTAGAACTGTTTAGTATATCCTATTTGTCTGTTAAAAGAATGTGTTTGCAGGAGGTCTGCACTTTGAAGTTAACCAAATGTCCTGTATTCACTGTCCGTTTATTAGGGTTTGCGTATGGATAAGGATAATAGGATAATCACCTTTATTGGCCAAGTATGTTACACACAAGGAATTTGTTTCCGGTACAGAACCGAGGCAGCCATCTTCGGTGCTAACTCAACCGATGGCTCTAATCATCAAGGGCAACAGGGGGGTTCAGTGTCTTGCCCAAGAACACTTTGACATGTGGACTCCAGGCACCAATGTTCGAACCTTCAACCTTCCGGTTGGTATTGACACACTCAGTTGCAATACACTTTTTAACTTGGCTTTCAGTGTAATTTGATTTTAATGTGGTATGGAAATGTTGCTCCTTTTTGTGTATATCTCTACATCATACTTTCAGCTATTTCTGTCAGGGCCGCTCGGCGGCCGCTGGCTCTCCTCCGTCTTTCTCTCCTCTGCTCTCTCTATCCTGTGGGCTCTGCACCTCAGCTGTGTTGCATTCCAGTAATTAGCGACTGGTTTGTCAATGCACACAGCTGGGGTGCATCCCGATGATTGCCTTCTCCTCCTTATGTATACCGCTGACAGACGCTCAAGTTTTGCTGGAACATTAACATAGTAACGCGGACTGTACATGTTGGTAGAATGCTACGCTGACAGACACTGTGCGTTTTGGCTTGACTCTATCACACTACCTACGCGCTACGCTAATTCCCACTACACTACATATTTTGGTAGAATGCTACGCTGACAGACACTGTGGCTGCGTCCGAAACCGCCTACTACGTACTGTATAGTAGGCGAGGCGAGTAGTATGTCCGGATTCGTAGTATTCCAAAAACAGTAGGCGAAAAGTACCCGGATGACCTACTGCTTCCGGTTGGATTTTGCAGTGTGCATACGATGGACACTTCACTATCCCATGATGCCCCGGGAGAGGAGTTATCCAACGAAGAAGACGCTGCTATGAAAACGTATGTCACGTGATGTATCAACATGGCGGATGTAGTACGTCCGAATCTCATTCATACTACCAGGCTTCATACTATACAGTACCTACTGTTTTAACGGTCAGTAAGTAGGTACTTCATCGCTTTCAGTACGTACTGTCACAGTATGCGGTTTCGGACACAGCCACACATTTGGCTCAGTCCCACATACACCACGCTACTACCCCAAATACTTACTAGAGGCCAAATGTGGATTAATCCGCTGCTGAAAATAGTCCCTACCAAATGCATAAACTTTGCTAAAGAAATGTAATGATAATTTACAAAAACAATAAACAATGCAATTGTTGTGATGGCTTACGGGCTTAGTGTGACAGACAAAACAAAACAAAAACCAACTAAACAAACCAAAATCAATCAAGCAAACAAAAAAGTACAATAACATCTACCATTGTAAAATAATAATAATAATAATAATAAT